CACCCCTCAAGCTCGGCCGGACAGGACTGTCCTCGGTACTGAGTTACGGTGGACAAGTGCCTCTCCCCTGACAGGCAGCAGAGGGACACCTCAACCGGCACCTGCCCCCCAGATGCCCTGCTGCAGGGTTGGGGCACCTCAGGAAAGTCAATGCAGTCTCTGGAGCAGTCTCCAGGAAGCCAGTGGGGCTGATTTGTGCCCCCTGTACCAAGGCGTGACTCACCACAGTGGCACCTCTTGCTGGCAGGTCGGTGCACCCTCTCCCAGCGGTGTTTTGTCCACCATCACGTCTGCTCTCGGGTCCACGTCACGCCAAGGACTGGGGTATCCTGTGAGTCACTATCTGTGCTCCCCTGGGGGCCCAGCTGTCCAGTCACTTCCCCAGGGGCGAGTGGGGGGACTCAGACCCTGAACGTAAGGGTACTGGGGGACCCAGTGGGGCAAGTGAAAGATAAACTAGCCATTGCAAAGAGCAGAGGACACCTCGCATACTAGAGGGAAACGTTTAGCGATGATACGCAGGCCCAGGCAGACGTGTGTCTCCTGTTGAGGGAGGCAGAAAGAGAAAGGGATGAGCTACAGATGCAGCTTAGGCAGCTGCAGGGTAGGAGACGCCCAACCCCCCGAGGAATGCAGCCTTGAGCGGGAGGGTGTGTGATGGGGTGTCTACCCCACACAGATGTAAAAGGGGTTAATCCTGCATGTGAGCAGTGGAGTTGGGTCCTCCAATCAGCCTAGAGAGGCTGCGTTGGGTGCAGGCAATCAGGGAAGGGCTGCAGGGAGCGGCCAATCAGAGCCCAGCAGGCTCACATAAAAGAAGCCCCTGGGCCAGAGCTGGTCAGTGGCTGCTGGGAGCTTGAGGAGTCAGGACTGTGTCTCTAGTGGGCGGAGAGCCCTGCGGCACCATGGACAGAGCAGTGCTGGCAGGGACCAGGGGAGCGAGAGGGAACTCCCATCTGGCTGCTAGGACTGTGGCCCTGAGGTAAGAGTGAAGAAGGTGTTGGGGTCGCGGGGAAGTGGCCCAGGAAAATGTGCTGAGCAGTTGGAGGGGGCGAAGCATGTGGCCGTACAGGGTCCCTGGGCTGGGACCAGGAGTAGTGGGTGGGCCTGGGTCTCTCCCCTGCCCCACAGGGGAAGCAGCTGGACTGTTAGACTGGGATACTAACCCCGGAAGGGGGAACACGGATGGTGACACGGCTGAAGGGCTGAGTCGCAAAGAGGGTGTTGTGGTTCCCGAGGCGGCGAAGGGTGCTGCAGGCAGAGGCAGTGACGCTGTGCAAGCTGCAGATGGGGGGTGGCCTCAAGCTCCACCCCAGCGTGACCAGGAGGAGGTGCCAGTCTGGCGGCGAGTGATGCGCCCCGTGACACGCCCTTCCCAGAGACAGCATCCCTCCAAGGGCTTGTCGCTTTGCACCCTGACACCCTGGTGTGTCGGTAGCTGCGCTGGGCACCCATAGCCTTGTGCTTCACTGTCCTGTTCTGGGCGCCTCGCTCCTGTTGAGGTGTTCGCCTCCGACAGGTTGCCAGCCAGCCTCACCCGGGATCGGACCCTTCCTGGCCCTGCAGGATGGGGTCACCGCAAGGTGGAAGGTGGCCCAGTGTTTGCAGGGCTGGCTCGGTGCTGGGAAGCGAATGGCGGTGCTTCCCCCGGGGCTGTGGTACTCACCACAAAGTGTCAGCCCAGAGCGACAGGCTGGGCGGACAACGCCCCACTAAAGGCTGTGGCCACAAACTTCTTTGGAGGAAGAAACTGCACCACAGGATGTTCATTTTACCAGGGTTGGCCCTGTGGCCCGAGCCATTAGCTGATGTTTGGGGCCTTGTTTCTGTCACTATGAGCAGTCGATGAGCAGTACCGGGTTTACAATGGCGCCACTGGTGCCATGGGGCCGGGGCCAAAGGGGCCCCAGCCCGGCCTGCTCCACTTCGGCTGCAGTCCAAGGCCCCGCCAGCTCTTCTCCACTCTCCACTTCTGTCCCGCACCCACCGGCACCCAAGCTCCCCACCTCTTCTCCGCCTCCTCCCACAGCGTGCCACGTTCCCGCTCCTCCCCCTCCCTCCCAGCGCTTCTCCCGCCGCCAAACAGCAAACGGGATAAATGCACATTTTTGTCATAAAAGTCAGGATGGTCGGGACAGAGCTTAAAAAGGGAACTGTCCCGGCCAAACGGGGATGTAGAGTCATCCTATCTCCAGCATGACTCATCTGGTCTGCAGCCTTAACTGCAGCGCTCAGTCCCAGCTCTCAGGTTGCGAGGAGATGTACTAGACTAGATGAC